GGTTTTGGTTGTTTCCATGCGACATGCAAAAAAAATGAACATGCTCAGGGGTCCTTTCTTCCAGCACGAACTGCGGCCAAAATGGCCTTTGCCAGTTCTTTGTTATACACACCGGTTGCTGTCCAGTTGACATCGTACATCCCTGCATGTTTCTCACATTCGCACCAACCAAAACGCTTTGTGAGCAAATTGCAAAAACCAGCTGACGCACTACAAAAGATAAGCACTTTACCGATAGGCAGTCCATTCGGTGCTTGCATACCGGTTTGACATAAAAACACCTCAGCATCAAACTGCAAACCACATTGTTTCAAAACTCGTTTGGTCTCTTCGCGTTTCCATATGTTGTTGTTTCGGGGCAGTTCGAAAGACCTCGAATTCCCAAGCAACAAATACTTAGAGACGTTCTCCATGATGCCTTTCCATGACCTGTCTGCCTCTGATTCAATCGTTGCAGAAAAATTCTTGAGTGGAGACCCTGAGCTACAAGGAGTAGAAGCGTGCACATGCACCCAACGGTAGCCTAACTGTTGGTGAACCTCAACAAACTCTCTCACCTTTTGAAACATGTCCGCAGTTTCCATTCGTTTGACTATACCGATATAGGGCATGCGTGCAACTTTGCAGGCTTCTCTCAAAGCTGAATTAGTCCCACAACAAACTTCCACAAACGCAACATCTTGCTTGTGATCAACCCTACTGTTGATGAGCATGACATCGCGCACTCTGTGCAGGTCTTGCATAGGCACTTCAGGAGTTTCAAACCCTAAGCTTGTACGGTGTCTCAGAAAATCTTTGGTCCCCAAACACTTGGTAAACAAATCTGCCACATTGTCTGTTCCGGCCCTGTGTTCAACCAAAAGTTCATTTGAGCTAATCTTAGCTTTCATCCAGGCCATACGAATTTCAACATGCCGACTTCGTTTGGGTATATCTTGTCCAACCAACAATTGCAAGGCTGAAGAACTATCTGACTCCAGCAAGATTTGTGGCACATCTCTCTCTCTCTCATTTCACCAATCCCTGTATAAACACGATGGCAAAAATTGCTAAACGCAACAGATTCTTGGGCAACCATTTGCAATGCATACAACTCTGCTTCACAAGAGGACAATGACACAGACTGCTGTTGTCTAGCCAATGACCTAACCAATGCACCTTCACAAAACACAACTCCACCAGAAATCCCTTTTCTACCATTGAATCTGTATGGAGCAAACGATGCATCAGAGAATGAATGCAAAATTGAATGTCTTGCAGGCCCAATCATCAAATTCTCGTATTCTGGGGATGGTAACCTCAAACATGTTCCCACATCTTCAAACAGAAATCGCAGCAAAGAACGAATGGCAGCTTCAGTGCCTTGGTTGGGCTTTGCTTGCTGACTTCCAATTAGACTGAGATACAGTTTCAGGTCGTGCCTAGACTGTGCCATCCACAGAAGCTTGCCAAGTGCTCGGCGAAATCGTGAATATGCAGAGGGAGAGAGTTCTTGCAATTGATTCTTGTCACCCATGGCCTTGTCCAAAATGCCGGCCACATCCGGCACAGATGCAGATCCTTTCGTGATGTTGAATTCAGTAAAGGTCGTGTCCAAAAACTTTGGATCCACGCCAATCGTCAAAGAGTCGTCATCAATTCCACGATGCACATGCCTGCCAATAAAGATTAAACGTCCACCTCCATGTCGTGCAGGAAGGATGATTCCGGTCTCCTTCAAGGGCACGGCTTTGCCAATTGCTTTCTCCACGATCTTCTCAGCTTTCTCAGATTGGCAACAAAGGAGTAGGTCGTCCACATATGCGACAAGCAGTGCAAGTTCTCCATTCACGACACCTTGATAAATGCATGGTTCGACCCCGTCAGAAGTCAATCCAACACCACGGATGCTGTCACTCAGCAAATTCAGCCAGTGCAGCGATGCATCTCGAAGACCATTCAAGGCCTTATAGAGCAACAAGTAGGCTTGAGAGCCATCAGGCATAGAGACGGAGAGGGGCAGCTTCAGCACAATCACAAGTCCATGAGGAAGAGGTGAATGCATGAAGGCGTGGGAAACATCAAGTCCTTTCAGTCGAAGAGCACGTTGGGCAGCAAGAGTGAGAACGAAATGCAGGCCCTCAATGCTTGGTGTCGGGCTCGAAATTCCCAGCTTTCGTGCACTAATTCCTTTATTCAAGTCCTTTGCAACTATCCGGACTCTGACTCGTGATTCACTTTTGTATGCTGAAACCCATCTACTTGGAATCACACGCATGAGCGGGTGTTTCTTTTTCAATGCATCAACCTCAGCCTGTCCTGTGACTCTACCAGCACCACATTTCTCCAAATTACCAATTTCTTCTTTCATACCCTCAAAACCAAGGTCCACGTCAAGTTGCATGAGTGAGCTATCATCAATTACTTCATCCGGTTTCCACAGCAACACTTCGGAACCACCAAGTTTCACCTTCACACACTGGTGATCCTTCCCATGTGCAAACTTAATTGAATTAAGCTCACTGTCAAACAACTCGGGACTCGTGGCTCGCGCATTCTCTGGTCCTTGTTCCAAACACCATGCAACAGGTCCTAAGGCATGACATGCATCATCCATGACGAACAAATCAAGAGTCATTGGAACCTGAGTTCCACCAGCTGCACGTTCAGCAGCCATTTCATCCTCCAAATCCTCAACTGATTGTTCTGCCTCTCGCTTCACGCCTGAACCTTCAGTGTCCATACTTAGACCAACCTCCTCAGAACCTGCGCCAACCGGAGTTGGGCCATTCTCAGTTTCAACCTCCATATCTTCATGTCTCACCTCAAGTCTCGGTCTTGCTACATTAGGCACAACATCTGGCATCTCAGCGGGAGTTTCACTCGCCTCAAACGCAACACGTTTTCTCTTACACTCAGCATTATGCCTAATTCCAGGTACATCCATTCCAGAATCACATGCAGGACACCGGGGTGTCTTTGGGAAAACACGCACATCTGACCTAGCAACATCTGGAGACGGAGACGGAGACTTTGGTGACACTTTCGGAGACGCTTTAGGCAATGCAGGTCCATCAGAAGTAGATGCACGAATTGGGTCTTGTCGGGCAATCTTCAATTCACCTGGCTTTCTCGGTTGAGATGGAGCTAACTCCACCGGTCTCTTCTTTGGCATAGGGGCTCGGAAGCCTGGATCAGGTTCTTTCATTTCTCGCACTAAGTCACCTGGAGCACCATCTGGGTACTCAACAACATCATCATCATGCATAGGTTGCTCAACATTGGCATCAGGCAATCTTGGTCTTGCAACATCTGGAGCAGCCGGCTCAATGCGAATTCCTTCGCGTGCTGGCAATGGTTCTCCTTGCACTTGTCCACCCTCAATCTCAGAAAACAACTGATCCCCAATGACTTGGTTCCACACAATTGGTGTGATTGGCTTGACATTCCTTGCAACAAAGCGCTTCAGAACTAATTCAACATCAATTCTAACAGCACCTTGCACAACTGGTCCTGTATCCAAACCTGAATGCGCAAATGCAGCTTCCACACTTCTGGTCTCATTCGGTGATTGGGCTCGCATGCTGCTGGGCAATTCGGCAAGGACAGTTTGACCAAACATTGCAAAGGAAGGTCGAGACAACTTCCGTTGTGTGGAATATTCCAATGGAGAAAAGTCAGTACAGGTATAGTACTAAAATCCACCCAAAACCCTCCCATCTATAATCCGAGATATAAAGGAGAGCAGGGCAACCGGGATATAATATCCGTATCCAAGCAGCATATTAAAACGCGTCCTACGCTTTCCCATTTATATATGTTTCCCTTATACAAGTATCCAAAATTTACCGAAACAAAAACCAACAAACAAAAACATCCAAAAACGACATCAGGTGAAATCGGACCTGTATGAACTGCCGTATCGTTTTGCGTTTGTTTCCGAACTGCCGTTTCGTTTTGCGTTTGTTTCAGAGTGATCGCCGAACGCAAATTGAAATTCTTTCTTTTTCATCGCCTGATTTGTTAAGCACGGTTGGTGTTCCCAAGACCTTCCTTTTGGATGTCTGCTTCACCACTTTTATTTTCCCGGGGTGTTTCTTCCGAGCAGCATCTCAATCCGGGTCTGGGTGGGTGGGGTACTTTTGACCTCCAACCCATATTGATCCACTGATACTGCATATAGAAAGAGTGGGTCTTAATTCCATCCTTAAATTATCATACCGTTAAGGATACCAGATATCCAAAAACCGAAGTTGGTTTCCAACTTGACAGATCATACCGGAAAGTTTCTTTGCCAAACTTTCAAGGTTCCTAAAAACCAAAGATTTAGTTCAAATAAAAAACCACAGTTTGCAGATTGTTTGAGTTCCGTCATAACTTCCGAGTTACTAGGTAACTAAGCAACGAACCCCAAACCAAACAAGCACACAGAAACCGGTGTACCAATACCTCAATGTATATCCTCATCAGTAGATGAGAACATTAGATCGGGACAACAGGACGCGCTACGCCGCTAAGATAAAAAGAAGTACCAACCAATACGCTATCGCAACAAGTCGCGAGTGCGTACAGGTATAGTACTAAAATCCACCCAAAACCCTCCCATCTATAATCCGAGATATAAAGGAGAGCAGGGCAACCGGGATATAATATCCGTATCCAAGCAGCATATTAAAACGCGTCCTACGCTTTCCCATTTATATATGTTTCTCTTATACAAGTATCCAAAATTTACCGAACCAAAAACCAAAAATCAAAAACATCCAAAAACGAAATCAGGTGAAATCGGACATGTATGAACTGCCGTATCGTTTTGCGTTTGTTTCCGAACTGCCGTTTCGTTTTGCGTTTGTTTCGGAGTGATCGCCGAACGCAAATTGAAATTCTTTCTTTTTCATCGCCTGATTTGTTAAACACGGTTGGTGTTCCCAAGACCTTCCTTTTGGATGTCTGCTTCACCACTTTTATTTTCCCGGGGTGTTTCTTCCGAGCAGCATCTCAATCCCTTTGCAAACGAGGGATCACCACGGCTCCATCTTTCTTTTCTTATTGGCTCTCTTTGGTTTTGGATTTGAACTACTTTGTTTCTTCTCCCTGGCCAACTCTTCGTGAAACTCCTGTGCTTTGTGCATAAGCCTGTCCAAGACCAACCATTTTGTATCACCACCAACAAACTGCATACGCTTATCCAAAGGGAAAGAGTCAAATTTTTGATTTGTCAGGTCGTCTGCAAGCTGATTCGAATCTCTGGGGACCCACTGCAAGTTCAGTTCACAATCTCTTGTGCGCAAAGTTTCGGACAACTCCATTATTAAAATGGTAAGAGGAAATTTCGTGCTCATCCATTTGCTAACCGCATAGGCATTGGAGAGGTTGTCGGTGCTCCCCTTTACCCAACAAGTTCCTTTTCCTCCAAGCGGCAAGCCCTTTGCCCATAGTCTCACAGCTATGAGTGTTGCCAACATCTCCAGCGCCGCTATGACCCTCTTTGGATCCTTCCTAAGGAACAACCAAGGCGCCCATCCTTCCTCCACTTCTTCTGAAAACCATTCTCCAATCTGTCCATCTGAAGTTTGTAGAAAACCTCCAACCCAGGCCCCTTTCTCTGTTGCTTTCGCATCTGTATAGAAAATTACATCGTCCTCCTTACCCTCTTTCAAAGGTGGCGGTGCCTGTAGACTTCCGCCTTCCGCAGTTCTGTCCGCCAGAAACCATAGTATGGTCCTCAACATCGTTGGAATCCTAAGCACTCCAGTCTTGTTTCTTATCGCTGCCGTCCAAGAATATAGAGGTCCAAGAAAAGGTCTCTCCCAGGTCAAAGCATTTGCCGCAAATCCAAGCCTTCCCAAGCCTTGCTCCATCTCTTTTGCCGTGACTCGACCTGTGGTGGCCAACTTGCGCGACCAACCTTCCATCCACGCAGCCCTCTTTGGTGAAAGCCCCAAGCGCATTGTAGTGTAGTCTGTGTATAGTCCAATCCATTCTACTTTTAAGCCTCCTCGTTGTTTGGCCCATTTGAAGGGAAAGCCCAAGGTGGGTAAAAACAAGAATGAAAGCACTGTGCCACGTCTGCCACGTAATCCTGCGCCTAAAGATTCCAAGTCATCTGCAAAGATGAGCATTTCTATCGGCATCTCCGGCCCCAAAAACTCATGTACCAATCGAATACCTGCACCTGCAATTCTGCCCCACCAATAGCTTGCTGAAGCTACTCCGAAGGTTCCTACCTTGTTGATATAGATGTGCTTGTCCGAGCTTTTGACCCGGCACGCCAGCAAACCATGTTCCAAGGGATCGTGAAGGAATCGTCGATGAGCTTTGCTAATATCACCCACAAGGCTGAAGACTACATCGCCTCTCGAACGGTAATATGATAGCAAGTATCTCTTCTCTCTAGCTCCTGGGCTCCGCTGTTTGTCACGGCATTTAATTCTGTTATTGATTTTTGTTCCATGTGTAGCATCGTGTATCACCCTCCTTTTGTTTCCATGAGCTTCTTCCACAAGCACTGCCAGTGAAGAGATAGCGATCCTGTCGCCAAAGCGCTGTTTGGCTTCCTCCAATGTAAGCTTCTCCATAAGACCTTCGCTGCACTCATCCTCAAATTGTTGTCTCACAAAGTTTTCGTGGTCGCCTACCGACTCATAGTTATCCCTCCATACCTCAGATTTCATATAGGGATCATCTTCAAGCTTCCAAGATGTCTGCTCCTCGTACATGTGGGGAGTCCGCGGCAAGGGTCTTATGACTCCCACCGGGAAGCCCTTCTCTCCATCAAGCAAGAACTTGTGATCTGGATCTCCTGCTCTATCCAGCAATGCTTCCATAAGTCTGAGTCTAAAAGGTTGCCCTGTTGCCACCTCTGTCAACCCTTGTGCGTTGTACCCCTCTTTCTCAAGGCTACTGCTCCAAAATTCTACCAGCTGTTGTTTCACCGTCTCATTCTTCACCAGTGTGCATCCTTCTTCGCCCTTTGCTGCCATTTCAAAGCACATTCTATCCAAGCTCTGTAAACCCCCACAGTGTTGCAGTATAATTTCCATGGATCCTTTCCGCAAGTTTTCCCAAAAGAGATCTCGATTCCATATCCTCTTCTCCAAATCCCATCTGCCTGGTGAAGCCAGGCCGCATCCATCGTGAAACCAACGCACTTTGCCCGGCACCTCGCATTTTCTAGCTTCTCCTTCTCCACCATAAATTTTCCAACCTTCTGCCATGGTCGTGGGGTACTCTTCTCTCAGATCCTTAGGAATTCTTGTTGTCTCTGTCACTCCATCGCATTTCTTGTCCCCCTCACCGTAGGCAGTAATGGAGTGTCGTGTTGCCCAAAAAATCAGAATTTTATGTGCAACCCATTTGCAAAATGCACTGGGCCATTGCTCTGTACCAGCTGTTGTAAAGCGCCCTGCATGTTGTCCTATAAGCGCCACTGTCGCTGGACGCTTGCTGAGTGGACCCTGATAAAAACCCTGACTATCAAAACATGGCGCTCCCACCTTGAAAAGGTCTGCATCCACCTCCACATTCTTTAGCAACAGGCGCGTCGGTTTCAAATAATCAGTTCCAAAGTCTTGTTGATAAAAAGCGCATGTCAGAAAATCACCAGATTCAATCAACTCCCAAAAGATTGGCCATTGCCACATGCTTGCAGGTCTCAGGCCCTCATACGGGCCATGTTGTACTGCTCCCAGATCCTCTGGGTTTTCAAAAACCAGTATTGTATCCTCTTTCCTTACAGCTTTGCAAACCTCATATGAAAAATCTGTCATGACGTTTCCCCAGTTGGCCTTCTTTCTCTCTGTCCATGTAAGTCTTGGCAGCCCTCGTAAATGCACAAACGTACGCACAGGTCTGGGTCCCCTTCTGTTTGAGAAGGTTGCACGTGTGAAAGTGGAACACGGTGGACTCAAAATGATTGCCGCATAAACTCCAGCCTTTATCTTGTTTAACAAGGACTGTTGGACTGCTCTTTTTGTCACATCCAAATGCGGTCGCACCTTGATGTCCACCATGTCGATCTGTACCTTCATTTGCCACTTAGCGGCGAGCTTCCTTGTCCAGAAACTAACTGACCCCTTACGGGTACATCCTGAAAACAAGTATAATACCTTGCAAGTCTCTGTATTCTGTGAAACTTTCTGCACTCCTGCATCCGTGAGTCAGGTGCCCGTCGTGTCGGGCGTGGTCTTCTCTTTGCAGTTGAGCGCGTTGTGATCCTTCTTGAAACACTTATTACACATGTGAGCGAACTTGCACTTCTGATAGTTGCATTTTCCAGCATTGAACCTGAAGCAAATCTTTTCACCATCCGGTCCTTGTCCAGACCCTTTCTGAGATCCTTTGGACTTCGTTTTTCCTTTTCCTTTACCCTTTGGGTTCCAGTTGCCTGCATTCTGATTGTTGTTCTGTGGATAAGCCCGTTTCGAATACAAAGCCAAAGGAGTAATGAAATGCCTCTCCTTTGTTGTCGGGCACTTCCAAGCCTTCTCCAACGCTGCGCCCAGCATCAGGCGCTCCGTCAACATGAGGCTGTACGCCCTTTTTCTCACAGCATGTTCATATGAAAGCACCAGACTCCAAGGAGGTGTCTGAATCTGCTGTCCATTCAAATCTGTTGAACTCAAGCCCCAAACATAGTCGCCCAAGATGTAGTCTTTGTATCGATCAAATATGTCTTTTGTAACATCTTGGATTTCTTCTCTGCTAACATACTTCAGTGCTAACATCATCAAGCAGTTCTGCATGACACTGAGTCGACGGCGAAGTTGCTCCGGTCCCGTTGGCATCGCCACCGTGGTGCTTCCCTTTTTCACTGACAAACTTCCTTTGCTATCAAAAACTGGGACCAATACATCTGGATCAATTTCGTCCTTTGAAACCACCTCTGACAACGTCTCAGCTCTGAACTCACCATTTTCCAGTTCTTGCAATTTCTTTTCTAAATATTCTTTCGAAGGCATGACTCGATCTTCAACTTGTCCAACTGAAGTTTGAAAGAAATTCTTAAGCTGCACATAGTCTCCAACTGGAATGGGTTTAGTCCACTCTCTGGAGTTCATCTCTGCCTCCACCTCCGATTGTCGTTTTGCCTTTGTAACCGTATCCTTCCATGAACATATCACTGCAGCTACCTTTGCACGATCTGCTAAAGCATTCGCAGCATCCACATTGAATTCATCTCTCAACACATGTACAAGATCTGTTTCATCTCTGAAAAATGAAGAAAACTTGCTAACGCTCGTAACACCATTCTCAAAGAAGTGCGCCTGCATATCGTCTGGAACATCGTTTCGGCTCAAAGTAAATCTCAGGTCTGAGCTCCCAAGCTTCAATGATTCTGCCAGCGTACGCGGTCCCACCAAAGCGGGAATTGCCATCACCCTCAACGGTTGGCTTCCGCCAAGTGAGAAAGTATGAACCTATTTACCGGAATCAAATCATAAATAAAGCCCTTCCAGAAATCCATGAAATTCCACACGGCAATCAACCTTTCCTAAAACTTTTTCTTTATATTAAACCCAAACATTCCAAAAACATTGTTATTATAATTCCAGTCAATCGCACACCTGTCCCTCTTCACGCATGTTGCTCTGAGCCCAATCCGGGAATCAGCGGATTCCTTGAAGCTCAACCACCCAATGTTGTTATCCAAAAGTATTCTTTCTTGTCACTTTCCCCAATTTTCCGGTCAGGATATTTCTAATACTTCCGACCCTGACAGTCTATTCAAGTGACTTCTCAAAACTCCGTTTTCCGACAGAGTTCAAAAATCTTCAATATGTGATGCAACATGTGTAAGACAAGTGTAACTCTGTTTCCATGCCTTCTTTTTCCGTTGTCCTAGGAATCAAACATCCCAGTGTAAACATGTGAATCCATCAAGAAACTCGAAAGGTGAAACCGTCCCGTCTTTGGGGACCTAAAGCCGTGCTGTCAGCTGCTGGAAGAACTGGACTTTGATGAATCACTTGTATCCGAAGATGTCTCCCCAGAACTCTCTTCACCTTCCGTTACCTTCGGCCAGCATACCCTGCACACGTGTGTATACTGCGACTCGTCTGGCTTGTTCTCAAACTCCTGTGAATCTTTGAATATCTTTTCTCTAGCCATCCAACATCCCCCAGCAGCTTTGTGCAGCCTCTTGCAGTTCCTGGCAGTTGTCACCACGATGAAACCATTCTGCCTCTTCGTTTTTGGCTCCTCGGATCCCTCTGGGTCTGGAACCTCTTCTAACGTCTCTGACTGATCCACCTCATCTTCCTGACCTTGTTGTATGAGTGGTTCAGCCTGTATTGCAAAGGAGTCCATAGCTGCCATCAAACTCTGCAATATGTCACTACGTTCCTGTTCAGCAATCTCCGTTTTCCTATACCTCAACCATGCTTCTGCACTCTCTGCAATATCTATTTCATCCAGAATCCTGAACCTATTCGGTTTTCTGAAAGCTTTCCCACATTTTTCTTGTAGTTGTGCAACCAACCCATTGTAGGACCTGATGTATGTATCGCTTGCCTCGGGCTTCCAACGCCCCACCAGATCTCTCTTCTTGTTCTCCACCCCCAACATCGCCAGTGCTGTCGGAAGAGTGGCCCGCTCACTGTGTTCCGTCCAAAAGGATGACAAATCTTCAGGCAAAACTGTATTGAAATCATAATAGCTGGTCAGTCTTTTTCTGAGATGACAAGAATATGCAGTGACATCCTGATAGGTTGCATATTTCTGTTGAAATCCACTCCAGTCCTCCGTCAACTTCGGGAGCAAATAATCCCTTTCGAAACTGGCATACGTTTTAAGGAGATTGAAACCTTTTTGAATCCAGTCCACATCCCAAACAAATGCATATTCTGAGATGCATACCGGCAACTCCTGCACACGCTTACCAGGACGTACTGGAGGTGCTTCCGCTGCCAGCTTCTCCGTTATGTAATCTCTCACTTGGGTTACCACCCTCGTGGTGGCCACCACTTCAGATTCATTGAAACCAGCTATTTTCTCAAACCATGCCACTGCTTTGCAAATGAAATTTGGAATACTTGCACCACAAGGCTCATCAAAACGACAAAATAAATACTCACAGAACATGCCGGGGTGGTTCAATGCATCTGCACCCCAGGTGTTGAATTTCCAAACTTGCCAGTCTCTCCACGCCTTCAAGTACCTCTTCAAGGTGCTCGATCTGGTTTTCCCTGCTATGGCAACATGCAAACGTTCCTGTCCAACGCAAAACTGAATACCTTTCAAGACTGGTGCATCTACCTTGAGAAGTTCCTTGTACAACTCTTTAGACCACCTATCCTTCAATGAAGTCTCATGCTCTTGCTTTGCCATAGCTTGATCTCTCCTGATCCTCTGTCTCGCACTGACTGGCATCCAAAGTTCCTCGACAAGCCTAATGCCTTTGGCATGACCTGAACTTGAACTAGAATTTAGAGACAAGAAACTTTTATGCAAAAAACTTCCAATCTCGAGTGGATCTTGTTGGAGGTCTCCACGTAAGCGTTTTTGGTAAGGCTCCGACACTGAAATTGTCTGCACCCATCCGGCTACAATATCAACATGCAAACTCTCACAAATGACTCCTAAATGCTCACAGATCTGTCCTGCTATCAATCCAGATTCAGAGACATCGAAAACTGCCAGCTTCTTCTCATCTAAACCAAATTTTTGTAGCACATTCCACATGACCTTCTCCAAGCAATCGTCCTCCATCGGGTGCACAAGTGCGCCGGGGCTCAGCCGCTCCCTTAAGGTACTTTTGACCTCCAACCCATATTGATCCACTGATACTGCATATAGAAAGAGTGGGTCTTAATTCCATCCTTAAATTATCATACCGTTAAGGATACCAGATATCCAAAAACCGAAGTTGGTTTCCAACTTGACAGATCATACCGGAAAGTTTCTTTGCCAAACTTTCAAGGTTCCTAAAAACCAAAGATTTAGTTCAAATAAAAAACCACAGTTTGCAGATTGTTTGAGTTCCGTCATAACTTCCGAGTTACTAGGTAACTAAGCAACGAACCCCAAACCAAACAAGCACACAGAAACCGGTGTACCAATACCTCAATGTATATCCTCATCAGTAGATGAGAACACTAGATCGGGACAACAGGACGCGCTACGCCGCTAAGATAAAAAGAAGTACCAACCAATACGCTATCGCAACAAGTCGCGAGTGCGTTCCATGAGCTTTGGAAAAATGGTTGTGGCTCAATGCAATGTAGGTTGCAACATCCTGCAATCCACGTTCAGTAAAACAGACATCAGCACCACCCTGGTTCATCTCAGCACGCAACACCGCAAGGGATTCCTTAAGTCTTCTCACAGCTCGTTCAGCTCCTCCATTGCTTTGGTGTTGTTGAGGTCGTGCACGGCGAACCAAGAAGGTATACTTGTCAGAACTGGTTCCAACTAATTCAGAAACTGCACGTTCGGCATCAGTATGCAGGACAACCGAAGAAGTCGATGACGCAAGGCCGAAGTGGTCCAGCCATTTGCAAATTTGATTCTTCACAGATCTTGTTTCTTGTCCCACAATGACATAGCCAACGCAGTTTGTAGATAGTTCAGTTCAAACCAGAACTTTGATAGTTCCGTCTGCTTCATCCTCAACCAATTCTCCACGAGTGGTTAGAAAACCAAAATCGGCTTGCACCTCAGTCTCAAGAGCGCCTTCTCGACGGCGACGATGTTGAAAGGTCGATTTGCCTCGTGCACATATTGTGCATCTTGGATCATAAGGTACATGTCCCTGCAACCTATGGGCTTCAAGCGCAGCTTCTGCCGCTCTGCTCAATGGATTCAAATTCCCATTACCATGCACCGCATGCAAACCCTCTGACATGATGAATTCATCACCATGCTGTGCAGACGCATCAGAATCACTATACATCCAAGCTGGGTCAAGTTTAACCCAAGGACAGCCACCAAAGTTGCAAATGTTGTCAAGTCTCAAACCTGACGCAAGATGAGTAACCTCAGCACCTTCTGGATTCTGACTGAATTCCCATCCGCACTCACAGAGAGTGTTGGTTGAAATGATGTTGTGGCTGATGCCACCAACTAAGCACTTCAGTTTTGCCTGTCGGTACACTGGGAATCTTCCCAAATTATCGGTTTTCTTTTTGAATCCAACCCAAACAGAAACAGTAGTTGATCCATCTATGTTCACCTTACTGCCATTTGCCGCTCGGAAGCGGTCACTTTGTGAGTTAACAACCCATGCACCATATGTCACTCTTGATGCAGTCGCCATCACAGTTGCAGCTGCACCGGAGTCCAGTAACCACCAGTGCTGGCTTTCATCACCCATCATGATTTCTGAAAGCAATGGATGCAAAACAGGTGAATATCTTTGCAGTTCAAACTCATGAGAAACAGTATCTTGCACGTTCAGAAAGTTGCAGTTCCAATTGTTTGCAACTGAATTCGATGACAGTTTGAAGAAATCAAGTCCTGAGAAACTGCAGCATCACCTTCTACCTCTACACCTCTTAAACCACACTCAAAAGTCACTGCACGATGCAAAGGTTCCTGACAAGTTCCTGACAGGTCGGTGGTCCCTGCTGCAAACATGCCACACAACAAATTGGAATCTACCTGTGGTGTCGTTTCATGCAACCATCCAAAGTTTAAATTCCAAAGTTGACACGTTTCAGTTTCCGTTTCAGACTGTCACTGTCATCAAATTCGTCTCCAAACATGGTGTCCATAACAACTGAACATGCAGATTCACTGTCAGAAAAAGGAACGAACACTCCTCCATCGAAAAATTCAGGATCAGAAATGAAACATGCTGGTGGTAATCTGTTGAAAAAGAGTTTCAGTCTCACGTTTCGAAGCTGGCAGCACTCCAAGTTCGCTGCAAAATCATCACTGATAGTCATGCAGTTTTGACACGTGCAGAAAAGTCGATTCGACTCTAAACACTGCAAACCTGCAACTGAGACATGAAAAGCAGTTTCATCAGTTGAAAAATGACTGCAAACATCATCAAAAGCGTCTGAAATTTCAGTTTCAAGTGTCAAACTTGTCGAAAAACCTGAAAACATCTCGGAAATCAAGGGACTCAGCACTAAGGATTGGACACCTTGGGTCGTTCCACCTGCACTTGCACTAGGTTGCTGGTCTTCAGTTGCAGGCCAACTCCAAGATTCGTCCCAATTCTCCTGCCCTTCTTGCCACGTGCAATCCCAAGATTCATTCCAACTGTCATTCCAGACCTGTGCAGTTTCATACCATGACTGGTCCTCCCACCAAGAACCATCGTCATGCCACCACATGTCCGCACTGTCCCATTCTTCATCGTATCCTACTTCGTTCATTTTTCCTTTCTTGCCAAAACCTTTACCTTTGCCTTTGCCTTTCTTTCCTTTCTGCTTACCTTTGCCCTTAATTACTCCTTTTCCTTTCTTTCTCTCTGGGCAATTTGCAGAAATGTGGCCAAATTTCTGGCATTTGAAACACTTCAGTTTTGACAAATCAACATCACATGCATTTGAACTGTGTCTCCTACTTCCACAGGTACCACATCGCACACCCCCTACTGCATCTAAATTCCAGTTTCCATCACCATCACTTGCAGACATATCATATTGCACAGTGGATTCATCTGAACCTTCCACTTGGGTGACCTGGTATAGATTCTTTTTGGGGTGGAACTCAGCGAAAGCACGCTGTTGCTGTTCCCATCTCAGTGCAGTGGCCCTAAATGCTTGATAAGACTCACCTCCAGTGTGATGCAAACAAAACGTCCTCACCGTTTCAGGTAGACTACGTAGCAAAACAGCTACCAAGTCAGCTTCGGCTACATGCAACCCTGTGGCATCAATTCTACTTGACAGTGTTCCCAGCAACTTAGAATACCTGGCCATTTCAAAGTCTATCTTTCTGATTGTATCTGTCACAATCGTACTTGCACTCGTTTCGTTTCCATGCAGTGCAAAAGACTTTCCTGCCAATGCCGTTCTAAAACTAAGTGCCTCACTCCTCGTCCTGATGCTGTACTCAAGGGTCAGCTGTCTCACCAGCTCAAAGCCATTCGAAGCTTGCAACTCTGCATTCACACCCACATCCGCATTGCACAAGTTGATTCCTTCACTGAATGCATTGATCAACGTCAAAGTTCTCGGGTGATTTCCAAACGCACTTCTCAAAATAGCAAGCAACCTTCTGCTTCTTGCACGTTGCGGCACAGCTAATTGATTCCAGTGCAACGGATCTGGCCATCTACAGGCATGCTCGATTTCACTTCCGAACTCAAGGCTGGCTTGCATCGCCCAGGCTGTTAAATCATAGATGTAAGCTTGCCACCCCAGGATTTCTGCCTCTCTACTGGTCCACTTTGCACAATCCGGTGTTGGGGGCGTTCCCAGCCATTTCTCACTTTTAGCAAATACGTCACCTACGTATTCCCCGGATGTTCCTGGTACGTGCATTGGATCCATACTTTGAGGAAACCCATTTGTGGCCCTTTGTCCAAACATCTCAGGTACACCTCTAGCCTGGCCAACCTGTTCACCTATCACCTGCCTGACTTGCATTAACTGCATCGGTTCCAAACCTCCCATCAGCCTCAGCACATCTTGCAACCTTTTGATTCTGGGGTGTTACTCCGCCAATGTCCGGTCCCATGCACATGCCTCCAGTTTGACCTTGTCCTACCTGACCTTGTCCTCCCTGACTTGGGGCACCACCGCAATGACCTGACATCCATGGCATTCCATAACATGCACTCCCCTGTCCTGGTTCTTGACTTCTACCTGTGCTAGCTTGGGCACTTTGACCTGCAGTTCCCATGCAACCTTGTCCTGGCATCCCTTGTCCGTGCAGACCTTGTCCTACCTGACCTTGTCCTGTCAGACCTTGTCCTCCTTGACCTTGTCCGAACTGACCTTGTCCTAACAGACCTTGTCCATGCACACCCTGACCTGGATACCCTTGACATGCAGTACAACCACTACATCCGTGACCTTGACATCCAAGAAAACCCTGATTCTGACTATAGTTCCGTGGATCCATCAAACCACCACGCATCGGTCCATATGTCCCAAAAGTATTCCATGCAGGAGGTAGCATCTGTCCAGCTCCAGCTAAGCTTCCAGCTTGTCCAAGTAAGGCCGGGGCCGGTGTTGTCATCGCGTTACCTACCGCTGCATTCGCTTGCATCGCGGCACCTGTTGGCGAATTACCTGCAACACCTGTGTTTCTTTCTACGCCCTGCTCACCTCCTCCTTCCATTCTGTTCATTGTTGGCGACCCTACTGGTCCTACATGCAGTGAGTTCATTCCTAGTGCACTTCCTTGGCCATTAGGTCCTTGTCCCTGGTTACTTCCTGGCATCATCGCGTCTACTTACACTACGCGTGGAGCACAACCGCTCCGCTACCATGCGAAAATCCAACAGGACCTAATTACAACCACTAGTCGCGCTCCTAACGTCGCAAGGGGTCGGCTTAACTCCGCGTCGAGCGTTTAACAAATTAAACACGAATTCCCCAAAACACGACGGCTTCACTGCGAACTCTCAAATCCCTTTTCCACACAGGAAAAAACACGAAGGCAAGGTAAGTTGTCTGTCATGCACATGCAGCATGTTATAGTTGGACTTCTTCTGTTTCAGCTGCTTTGCCTTTGCAACATGCAACGGCGGCGGTTGACAAACATCATCAACATGTTGGTGAATTCAGTAAAGCTGAATTCACCATCTT